ATAAGCTTTCGTGGGTAAGAACCTCACTTCTTCAGATGCAAGAAGTGAGGTTCTTACCCACGAAAGCTTATGCTCCCAATACTTCTGTTAGTCTCAAAGGTGCCACAGGACCCTCTGTTGCTTTTTACAAAAACTAGGGGTCACCAAATGAAATTAATAGGCAGCAGATTTAAAACAAACAAAAGGAAGTATTTCTTCACACAATACACAGTCGCTGTGGAACTCTTTGCCAGAGGAGGTTGTGAAGGCCCAAAATATAACGGTTCAAAAAAGAACTAGATAAGTTCATGAAGGATAGGTCCATCAATGGCTATTAGCCAAGATGGGCAGGGATGGTGTCCCTCACCTCTGTTTGCCAGAAGCTGAGAATGGGCAGCGGGATGGATCACTTGATGATCACCTGTTCTGTTAATTCCCTCTGAGGCACCTGGTATTGGCCACAGTCGGAAGACAGGATACTGGGCAAGATGGACCTTTGGTCTGACCCAGTATGGCCATTCTTATGTTCTTATATAGACCTAACTTTTTTTAAAATGGAAGCTGAGATTCTCACATAGCCACTTGACTCCAGGAGCTGATGCTTTAAGAAAAACACCAAATATATTGTGACTCTCACAATATAATAGGAAGAGTTGGCAATATTGCATCACTATGTCTAACATCTCTCTTTTCATCCCCTTATGCTTCTCTAACTCTCCCTTAATCATGACCTGGGCAGGGAGAAGCTCAGCTGGACTGCACTCTCTGTGGGGGGGAGGGGGAACAATAGCCGCATGATCTACAATTACATGATAGGTCTGTCCTCAGTTTTTTACACTTTGACAGCACTGATAGGCGTGGAGGGCTAATACAGCCTTACTGAATAGAATAATGAAGATGTAGTTTCCCGGTGCTTGCTTTATTACGGGAGCTAATGGGACTGGGACTTCATTTCCCAGGGTCCTTTGGGCAGGAAAACAGGCTTTTTCCTCTGGCGCTGTATTTATAACGCCTTTCCTAGCCCAGGCAGTCCCGGGAAATGCAGTCCAAACCCTATGAGCGGCCAACACAGAAACGAGACAGGGCACTACGAATCCCAGTTGTCTTCACACACCTCCCCTGCAGCTAAGAGCAGGGGCTGAATGCATGTGATGATATACAGCGCGACAGAAATCCGGGAGCGCTGAGAACATGCGTTTCCTGTGCCCGTTGAGAGCTGTAGCAGCTTCCCTGGCCCATGCAAAGGTGCAAGCGAACTGGGTCTGTTCTGCCAAGAAGGACCCCACTCCAGCCATGCACCTCTATGGTGAATGCAGCATGTCACTAGCACTTATTAGTTAGCGGTGGGGGGGGGGCTGGTTTCTTGGGGCTGCCTGGGCGGAGGGCAAAGCCCTGTGGGTTTAGCGGGCAGCATACGGTATCGGGCTGGGGGCTGCCTTGCGGGGAGGATTAGGTGTAGGGTGTAGCCGAAGGGGCGATGGCAGGAGGGGTGGTCCTGGTGCAGGGAGCCAGCAGAGGGCTCGGCCTGCACTTCTGCAAACACATTTTATCCGCACGGAAAGAGGCGAGAGTGATCGCTACCTGCAGGAGCCCCGAAGCAGCCAGCGCCTTACAAGCGCTGCAAAGGCTGTATCCCCAGAACCTCACTGTGCTGCGGCTGGATGCCACTCGGGAGGCAGAGATCCGAGAGGCAGCGGAAGCAGTGGCGAAGGAGCATGGCCGGCTGGATCTACTCATCAACTCTGGGGCAATGTTGCACCCCAGCGGCAGAGGAGAGAAGAGCTTGCAGGAGGTCTCAGCAGAGGTGGGCCAGAGTTTCCCTCAGTGGAAACATCAATGGGGTCAAAAAAAGCGTAGTTAGTGCAGACCTGCTGTATTTCGTTCCTGTGGGATTAACTGGAAGACCCCCGTTCTGCCAGTAGCTCTCTGAGCAAGGGCATTCCCTCGGAGCTCAGCTGCTCAGGGTTTTTGTCCAAAATGTGTGTCGGTTTAAGTCTTTGCTAATTAATCTCAGCAGGCTACATTGACATGCTGTGGAGAGAAGGGGGTGGGGGGGTGTCCTTGATAATGGAAAGAGGTCTGAAAAAGAGGGTGATTTTTTTTATTGAAGGTGGCTTGGTAACTGTGAAGCCATTGCTTGAGAACATCTGGTTGCAGCTGGTGTATTTCAATAAATATATCAGTAGACACCTGAAAGTGCATAATGGCTTTAAAAGCATGTCCATTTTGAAATAGGTGACTAGCGGCCTGAGAAGAAAAGACATGCCACCTGCTGGGCCACATCCAATGTCAGGAGAAAGGAGTCTTAATGGCAACACAAACAGGTCTAGTGGGCTTTTTCTCCAGCCAGCCATTCCCGTTGTTGCATGCTCATCAATGCACAGTGCACTCTGGAGTGCAA